TTGTGTGCCTCGGCTGAAAGGCTTGGTTTAGGGTGGTTAAAAACATGGCTTTCATGGCTTATTTCTGTGTAGTTGTTTACACTGCTTTTTATTTGTAAATAATTAAGCAACAACTAGACAAATTCTAATGAAAAATATTCTGAATAAAAATAATGAAATTGTTTAATTAAAGCTTAAATATTTTAATATTATATAAATCAAAAGCAGTATTTAGGGTGCATTTTCATATATTAATTAGTATGCATAACATTCAGGCTTGTTTAAGGAACTCAGAAACATGCAACAACAACAATAATAATAAAAAATAATAATAATCCTTTCCAAAAAAAAAAAACAACGATAATAAGGGAAAATTTCATTTTGGTACTTTATATTATATGAAAATTTAAGTTTGGTACTCTCTACTTTTAAAAATTTCATGCCAGTAGCTCGAACTTTTAGAAAATCATTTTGTGTATCTCGGAGCCATTTTTTGAGACACGAAAAAACAAAATTGTCCTTACTGTAAAAATTCATCTGTTGACCAAAATTTTGAAGGAAAAAGAGGATTTTAAAAAGGGTCAATTTCAAAAATAGCACTCCTTAATAAATTATTATTAATTTTAATATCACTTTTGTATTCTTTCACAATTAGCATCGTCATGTCAGTAAAAGTAGGACCAGGCCGTTTTTACTTGAGTTAAAATGACAATTGTGCCCCATTTCATTTTTGGAGCCTTGAATATATTTTGAAACATTTTATAATTCAAATATTCAAAGTAAAGAGAGGAGGAAGAGAAAGAACGTGGGTGTGTACAGAGACCAAGAAACCCCAATGACCACCACCGTCTACCACCATCTACCACCTTAAGCACCGACGAACCCACGTAATCACGCGACAAGAACTGACGAACTTTCACTGGAGAAGTCAATGCCTAAACCTCTTTGTCGGAGATGAACGAACTAAGAAAACCTCACCCTCTTGACCGGAGAAATCAACCACGAAATAGATGAGGTCAATGGCGGATTTCGAGACAAAGGTGAAAACTTTGTTGGCTTTTCTTGTTTATTTGTTTTTTTCTTAGGTATTTATTGTTTTTTTTTACCATTTTTTATCATCTTAGAAGAAAAGAAAGGCTTTGGAGGAGGAGATAAAAGCATATTAGATCAGTTATTTGAAATTTTTTATTGTCATTGTGCTCCTTATTTGGTATGTGACTCTGCCTGATGGCTGGTTATACCATCATGACCGGTCGGTAATTGTATTATGACTGGTCGACCGGTAATTGTATTCTGACCGGTTATAAGACATGCACAACGTGCGGTCATAATACTATGACCGATGGTCATAATCCTATGACCGGCCATCAGGCAGGCAAGCTCATATTGTGATTGCCTGACTAATGAGCTAGTGGTCATAGCATTATGACCGTCGGTCATAGTACTGTGACCGCACTATGTGACTGCCTTATGACCGGCCATCAGTCATAACACTATGAGCGAGCCTGCATGATGGGCGATCATAGAATTATGACCATCGGTCATAGTACTATGATCGCCCAATGGTTAGACTCTTAGTGTGCCAGTCATAGTACTTTGGTTAACAATTTTGTTTGGTTTTCTTGTTTTTTTTTTTTTTTGTATTTATTGTTTTTTATACCTTTTTTGTCATCTTAGAAGAAAAGAAAGACTTTGGAGGAAGAGATGTCGTTGATAGAATGTGACCCATCTTCATTAATATATCTTAAGGATAAACTTTTTCTTGTGGCCGAATCCCATCTTCATTAATATAGATTTCTCACCAAATCTATAAGACCAATATAAGTTGTGTTGGTGGGTACCAATATCTCCTTCATTTCACAACCGACGTATCTCGAAGTACGGTCCCAATGTCCTTTGTACTCGATGAAAACATTCAATCCATCAGCTACTCCTAAATAATTTCAAAAATAATAATTGTTAATCAACATGCAATTACTCCTAGTCGTCATCGAGTCATTAGAAATGGCCATTCATAACACTGTGTAATGCCCGGTCGTAAAGCAGTCATAGTGTGCCAGTCATAACATTATGGGTCATTTCAGTCATAATATTATGACCGGACGGTCATATCACTATGAATGCCTTATGGCTGGTCATAATATTATGACCGGCCATTTTGACTCATACTGTTATAATTTGACTCATAGACAATGACTCATACTGTTATGACTGACTGGTCATAGTATTATGACCGGACATATAACAATATGAGTCATAATGCTATGACTCCCAAGGTCAACTATGTCTTTGACGTGTTGGTCGTTACAATTAGTTTACATATCAGTTATAAACCATCCAAAATCTCAAATTGACGAAGGATATTTTCAATTCCTATCACATTAAGTTTAACTCAGTCACTTTTTTTGAGTTCTATATACTAAGTCTCCTGAAAAATAAATTTAAAAATACAAAAACAAAAGAAAAACAAAAAAAATTGTTTACCAACCTCGATCTGGTGCACAACCGGAGTATTGGCGACGAGGGAATTAGGGCGTAAGGAAGAGAGAGACTGAGTACAGAGAGAGGCCAAACTTGAGAGAGAGAGGGAGAGAGAGAGGGAGAGCCGAAAATGGGATGTAGAGAGAGAGAATGAGGGGGAGAGAGTTGGGAGTCTCTTTGAGGTGCTTTTAAATGTTAATTTTGACCTAAGTGGGATAGAAGTCATTTTATCTCACACTGCTGACATGACAATGCTAGTTGTAAAAGTACACAAAAGTGGTGTTAAAATTAATAATCATTTATTCATGAGTGCTATTATTGAAATTAACCCTTTTAAAAAGTGAGAAAAAAGAGGATTTTAAAAATTGTTATACTTGTAGAGCATAATCCTTTTTAAAAAATTAATCTCTTCAAAATTCTTTTTTTAAAATTCTTTTTTCTTTCAAAATTCTAGTCAACTGACGAATTTTTACAATAAGGGCATTTTTATCTTTGTGTCTCAAAAAATGACTCCGATGTACTAAAAAAAGATTTTCTAAAAGATCGAGGTACCTGCATGAAATTTTTAAAAACAGAGGATACCAAAATTAAATTTCGATGTAACAGAGGGTACAAAAATAAAATTTTCATTAATAATAATCCTAGCTTTGGATTAGTAACTGTAACACCATGTGTGAACATTTGTATATGTAGTACAGCTTTAATTAACATAGATTAATATGTTGGTTTAAACTTATAGAAAAATCTCCATTTTATGATGAATGTTTCTTCTTCTACATGGAAATATAGAAACTTCTTAAAACCGATATAATATATACACATGGATGAACAAACAAAAGGAGACATGATAATTAAACAAAAGGAGACATGATAATTAACATCATAATAAAGGGGGATAGAGATATCGATCTCACCGTCATGTTTGAAGCTACGTACATAGCTAGAGAAGTGTTGGCTTTCTTTTGCCAACTATATACACATAATAGGCCTACTTACAACTAAAGTTGACGTGAAGCACAAGATCGGAGTTGGCGCTTAATATATAGGCGAGAGAAGCATCTTGGTTTTGTTGTCCTTGGAAGCAATATAGCGAAGACAGCAAAGCCGGACAAGAGAGAATACACATTTTAGCCTAGACGTCTTCACAGGCTTATATAAAATATACATTTCTTTTCCCAACTTGCTTTGAAGCGGCAAAATATGCTCGTGACTTTTTGAAAGTGCACTGCCCGTGCTCTGAAATTTTAAGGGTTACTTCTGGTTCTCCTCGAACATCTCACCTTTGATAGTAACATAGTCCCACAAGCATCAAGACCCAATTGTGGTCAAATATACTATAAAAAAGAACAGGAAAGATATATAATCGATTAATTTTTTATATCATTGTCATCATCGTGGTTATCATAGTATATGTGTAACATAATTACTGAAACGATATTTCTGTCTATCGTCACGACTACGTGTATTTTCATCAGTAAAATATAGATAGATAATATATACATATACGAAGTTTCAATGGTTACGTTTTTCATTAATAGTCACCTCTAAATATAGAAATTTAATGACGTGACATGATAAGAACTTAATTTCATTTATTATCATTAATTTTTTAGGTCAACTATTCAATTTATTACAAACATCATATTAATATCTTGTGACTAACATGATTATATCCCATTGATGAGTAAATATTTGAGTAACTATTAATATCACACCCATACATATATATATATACACATATGTCTATGTATATAGACTGTAGTATAGGTGCGTTATAACACTAACATACATATTACTTGTTTTCCAAAAACAGAAATAATCAAATCAATATCTACTGGTAAACGTAAATATTAAATCTATATCTTGATTAGATCTAAATATTAGATCAGAAGCTGCCGACGTCATTAGGCGTCACCTTGATTTGATTTTAGGAACATACCGATGCCAGTGGCGTCGGAATATTTTTGTGAAAAGCATATTGGTTAACTTTTTTTTTTTAGGAACTTAGGGACGCAATTTTGGCGTCGAAAATTTATGAATAACTTAACAACGCGGCTAATACTTACGTACGTTAACTTAGCAACGCTGTTACTGACACTACAATGGCGTCGGGAAGTTAATTTCCTGACACTTTTTTTGTAGTGATTCTTGACTATTAACCAAATTATTATGATAAAATAACACACGCTCTTAGACTTGTAATTGATCATCCAAAAGTTTGGAAGATAATAATTTGGAAGTGAAACAGAAGTTCAGGGAAATCATTATGCTTGACTTATTTTATGGCTCTATTTCCATTTAAAATTCTAGTTGGTATCATCCTAAATGCATATTTCTACCTATTAATAGCTAGCTTAATACGTTCGAACCTTGGTGGTTTATTCAATGTTAATTACCTTAGTTTTCTCCACCTTAGTTGTCTCTTGCATGTTATAAGGTGACAATAAATAGCCCCTCATCCCAAAGTACTCCAACCTGAAAGAAAAGAAAAGAAAACTTACCACTTGACTCGAGACTTAAAAGAAAATCCCAAATTAGCCATGGCAGAAAAGGAAGGAGGAATCGTCAAGAAGGGCCAAGAAGAGGGCTTGAAAATGGCTGTCGCTCTGCTAGAAGAGTTTGGACTTCCTGCAGGACTTTTGCCCCTTGCTGATGTGATTGAAGTCGGTTTTGTGAGGAGCACTGGCTACATGTGGATCCTGCAGAAGAAGAGAGTGGAACACAACTTCAAAATGATTAGCAAGCTTGTCAGCTACCACACCGAGATCACTGGTTATGTGGGGCAGAAGAAAATCAAGAAGCTCAAAGGAATTAAGGCTAAGGAGCTTATGTTGTGGCCCCCGGTCAGTGAGATAGTTGTCGATGATCCACCCACCGGGAAAATTCACTTCAAGAGCCTTGCTGGGATCACCAAGACTTTCCCTGTCGAGGCGTTTGCTGCTGGCCAGTAGATTGGTTTAATCATCTTGACCATCAAACAGTCCAAGGCCATCAGATGCCTGAAAATTTTTACTTGATTCAGACTTTCACAAACTTGAATTCTACAAATTGAACATCGTTTTCTTCATCTCTTCCCCCCTTGCTCTCTAGTTTTTTTTTGCGTTTTCCCCTATTAAAGGGCTTGTTTTGGTGGAGATTCTCATGATGATAAGTGGTAATGCTGAGTAGAAAATAAAAATGATAATGCAGTATAACATTTGTTTTTGTGCTGACAAAAACAACTTCCACTTCATTTTTCAAGGAAGATCCTTTAGTTAAATGGTTTTGATCACATAAGCTGTAAAACTCGAAAGCACATCCTCAACCTACTATTAAAATGCGTCATTAGAAGAAAAACCAACTGTAGGGGCTCTTAAAGACCGCAGCACCAAGATAAATAGACTAAGATGAGGGCATAGAATTACCACATAATCAACAAACAAAAAACGGAATTCGCAACTTATGCGAACCTCCTAATTATTGGAAACATAGAACAGTAAATTTTTTTTTTTTTTTTTTTTTTTTTTTGGTGTGTGTGATTAGAGCAGAACAAATTTGCCACCATACAATGAAAGCATAGGGGCACAACGAGCTTTGAAAAGTTCACCCATTTGAGATTATACCTCCTTAGGTAAAATAGAAACGTGCAGTCTAAGAGGTATAATACAAAGAGTTTATAGAGCAAGAACCATAGATGCAAAGTAATCACTCTGTTTACCTAATTGACCCAAATGCAATTCAGAAAATCTTGAGTTGATATACTATTCGAGGTTTTTTCTTCATTAAATGGAGAAAAAAAAAAACTATATCTCTTGAATTGTGAATGCCATGTCATCCCCAATCCAGCAGTCCCTATATCTGTAACATTTATGTCCAGGTTGCAAATGAGACCAAGCACAAACATAATTCTGAAACAATAACTTGATATGATCACAACATAAATTATTGATAAACAATCATCAGAAACTATTTTTAGTTAGATTAGGAGAATTAGTTAGAAATTCCTTGATTAGGAGAAACTTGATATGAATTGTTGACGTGTAAATGAGTTGTAAATAGATTAGGAGAATTAGTTAGAAATCCCTTGATTTCAGGGATTCGGGTTAGGCAGGGTTATTTGGTTTCCTGATTTAGGAATGATTTGATTTCCTATTCTCTCTCCTATAATTAGCTATATAACATCATGTAATACATTTATTCATGAATAACAGAAAATAGAATCCTTTTCTGTGACATGGCATCAGAGCCCTAGGGCTTTTTTTCTTTTTTGGGATTTCTTTTCTCGAGCAACCTTCATTGCTGTGTATTCTAGCCTTCATCGCTGTCATTCCCTCTTATTTTTCTCGTCAATAATCCTTGTTCAGTCAGCCTTAATTGCTGCGATTTAGCCTTCATCGCTGCCATTATTCTGCCTTCATCATGTCAACCTTAAAAACCACCATCTCTAGTAACCCCTCCGAAGAAGTCAATTCTGTTCAGAAAACTGGAGACTTGCAGAATATCCGAGCCTCTAATAGGCTGAATGGGAAGAACTATCTCAAATGGACCCAAATTGTTCGCACATACCTAAAGGGCAAGGGGAGACTTGATCACCTGCTTGGAAAGGGGCCAGAAACGACGGATCCATCCTTTGAAGCATGGGACGAGGAGGACTCCATGATTATGTCTTGGCTATGGGACTCCATAGATCCAACAATCAGTGACACATGTATGTTCTTGACTAATGCAAAGCAAATTTGGGATTATATTTACTGCACATATTCGAAGGCTCGTGATGATGCTCAAGTGTACGAGATTAAGATCAAAACTGGAGCCACTAAACAAGGAGACAAATCTGTCACAGAATATGCAAACCTGTTGCAAAATCTGTGGCAAGAACTAGACCATTACCGAGTGATAGAGATGAAGAGCCATGAGGATGCTACCATCTTGAAGAACTTCATTGAAAGAGATCGGACATACGATTTCTTGGCTGGATTGAATCCAGAATTCAATCAAGTGAGAGTTCAAATCATTGGCAAGGGGAACACACTATCTCTAGAAGAGACAATCTCACTGATCCGAGCGGAAGAAAGCCGAAGGAGTATTATGCTTGAACAACCAACCATTGACCGGTCAACCTTAGTAGCAAAAACAGATCACCAGGAGAAAGGAAAGGGTGATCCGCCTAAACATCCTGGTAGAGAAAATCAGTGGAAGGAGAACAAGGACAATCTTTGGTGCACCTATTGTAAGAAATCAAGGCACACAAAGGAGACGTGTGGGAAGCTGAATGGTAAGCCACCAAGCCGAGAATGAGGCAACCGTGAGGGCAACCGTGGGGGTCAGCATAGGCCTCAAGCACACATAGTCGAGCAATCCAAAACTGAGGATAGCTCAACAACCGGGGGGTTTAACAAGGAAGAAATTGAGAGATTGATGAGCTTCTTGGGATCACTCGATAAGCCTTCAGGGACCTGTTCCTTAGCTCTTTCAGGTAAACATTCCATTCGATTTTGCATGAATGCCTCAGAAACATTCTATGATAACCCCTGGATAATAGACTCAAGTGCCACAGACCATATGACTCCCACATCTCAACTCTTCCACACTTACACCTCATGCCCGAGTAACAGAAAAATTATAGTGGCCAGTGGTTCTTTAGCCACTGTTGCAGGGACCGGAGATATCCATATCACACCTACCCTTATCCTTAAAAATGTCCTTCATGTACCAAAACTGTCAGCCAGCCTTGTGTCCATTAAAAAACTTACCAATGTCCTTAAATGCTATGCTACTTTTTTCCCTTCTTATTGTGTTTTTCAGGAACAGAGCTCGGAGAGGAGGATTGGACTTGCTAAGGAAAGGAGCGGCCTTTATCATCTTGAATCATCTCAGAAAATTAGGAGCAATATGTCTTTGTCTTTTCTCAGTTCCTCAAATAAGGATGCCATTTGACTGTATCACCTACGCCTAGGTCATCCATCTTTTAGAGTTTTAAGAGTCATGTTTCCTCATTTATTCCAAGGATTAGATATTTCTGAGCTTCATTGTGTTGTTTGTGAACTGGCAAAACATACTCGTGTATCTTTTCCTATTAGCAATAAAAGAAGTTCCCATCCTTTTCATTTGATTCATAGTGACATATGGGGTTCTTCAACTATACCTAATATTTCTGGGGCTCGTTGGTTTGTATCTTTGATTGATGATTGTACTCGGGTGACATGGCTCTTTCTTCTAAAACAAAAATCTGATGTGAGTATTGTTATACTTAATTTCCACTCAATGGTTCAAAACCAGTTTGGGGTTAAAATTAAAAGCTTTAGGACAAACAATGCTAGAGACTACTTCAATCAAATTTTATCACCCTACTTTCAGTCACAAGGCATTATCCATGATTCATCCTGTGTTAACACACCCCAACAAAATGGGGTAGCCGAGAGGAAAAATAGGCATTTACTAAATACCACCCGAGCCTTACTTTTTCAAGGGAATGTTCCTAAGTCCTATTGGGGAGAGGCAATTCTTACAGCCACATACATGATTAATAGACTTCCCTCACATGTGTTAGAAAATAAGAGTCCCATCGATACTTTCTATCCTCACTTTAGAACCTCAAATGGTCTCACACCACGGGTCTTTGGATGCACTGCCTTTGTCCATGTCCACAGCCAACATAGAGGCAAGCTAGATCCCCGAGCCACCAAATGTGCCTTCCTCGGTTACTCATCCACTCAAAAGGGGTACAAGTGTTACAACCCTTCATCTAGAAAATTCCACATCTCTGCCAATGTCACTTTCACAGAAAACAAACCTTTCTTCTCCAAGTCCTCTCTTCAGGGAGAGATTCCAATAATGGAAGATAGTCCTTGTGAGTCATTTAAACCCCTAAATACTCTGGATCTTCCTCGTGTTCCAGTTCGTGTTGTTGAACCAGAGTCCTCTAAGCCAACTACTTCTGAGTCACCCCATTCTGCCTCTGAACCCGTGTCATCTCCTGTCCCAGCCAGCGTCACTCACAATTTTCCACGGCTTTCTCAAGTGTATTCAAGAAGAAAGGCTGCTCCAGAACTGCCACAAGTCCAAGAATCCAACTCAGGCTCTGGGAATGAGATCACGGTAAGATCTAATCCACCCTTACACACACAATAGGTTAAAACATTCACTGATCCAACAGATGACCTCGACCTTCCTATTGCTGTCAGAAAAAGGTCCCCGAGAGTGTACTAAACATCCAATCTATCCACTATCTCACTATGTCTCCCTTACGCGCCTGTCGTCGGCCCACAAAAAGTTCATTGTGAGTTTAAACACCATTGCTATCCCTAATACTGTTTCTGAGGCATTGTCAAAAGGGGAATGGAGGGAGGCTATGAGAGAGGAGATGAGTGCATTAGAAAATAATAGAACATGGGAGATTGTTGATAAACCAAAGGGAAAAAATGTTGTTGATTGCAAGAGGATTTTCACACTGAAATACAAGGCTGATGGATCTCTGGAGAGATATAAAGCAAGATTGGTGGCCAAGGGATACACTCAAACTTATGGAGTGGATTATCAGGAGACTTTTGCTCCAGTCACAAAAATGAATACTGTGAGAATTTTGCTATCACTGGTAGCTCATTTCAATTGGCAGCTACTACAGTATGATGTCAATAATGCATTTCTCCATGGTGACTTAGATGAAGAAATCTACATGAATATTCCACCAGGATTTGAGGGGGACACAAGTAACAAAGTGTGCAAGCTGAGAAAGGCCCTTTATGGGTTAAAGCAATCTCCTAGAGCATGGTTTGGGAGATTTACAAAGGTAATGAAGGAGTCCGGTTATGAACAAAGTCAAGGTGACCACACTCTCTTCATTAGGCACTCGGCTGTAGGGGGAGTAACTGCTCTTCTAGTCTATGTGGACGACATCATAGTGACTGGAAATGATGAAAGAGAGAAGCATGAACTTAAGCAAATATTAGTAAGAGAGTTCGAGATAAAGGGG